TCCTTCCCATGTAGCTTTTACATGTAGCATCAGGGCTGATGTGTTCTCTGGTGCCCTGACAATCCGTGCACCCAGATTGAATTTGCTAAACATTCCAGGTCCTATTTAATGAACTCTTATTTGCATTCTAGCACCTTGGTAGTTGGGACAGCACTGCAGAGCCCCTTACCACCTTGGCCTTCACATTTGTCATAAATCGCATTCTTTTGCCTATTTCCTTGTGGCACCATTATATAAATCTTGTAAGGTAAACCAGGGCTGATGCACCACATTTTTACCTCTCCTTTCTCTGTGTCCTTTGTCCTTCAAAAAACATATTAAAGATATCCAGGGCAGAGCTCAAACAGCCACCTGTTCTACCCTCCTTAATTGCCTGTTCTCCTCCTTTGTCATATAATTCCCTTTTCTTGGCATTAAAGAGAACTTCTTAAGCTTGAAAAATCTGTTTAAGTGTTTCTCCTTCATTTGGATTCCTATCAGGATGGTCCTTCAAAACCAGTTTCCTATAGGCCTTTTTTGTTCTTCTTGGGTGGCATTGGGTTTGAACACCAAAACATTTTAGTAAGTGGGGTTTTTTTTTTCCATGTTTTTCTTTTTAAGATTGTTTACTTATTTGATACAGGGTCTTGCTATGCAGTTTGGACTTGTGGTGATCCTCCTGTCTCAGCCTCACCAGTGCTGGGATTACAGGCTTGCACCACCGTGTCTGGTTTCGGTGCCAGCATGGCACACCTGGGGTTCTGGGGCTGGTGTGGCATGTGGTACTGAGGATGGAACTTGGGTATTTGAGCTTGCTAGACAGGCTCTTAGACCACCAAGCTATCTCCCCAAGCCTCTCTCACTATTTTCCACAGGAGGTGAGTGGGCTAGGCCACACTGGGGTAAGCAGGAAAAATGCACAGCCATGCACAGGTCAGGTGGGTAGCCACTGCTCCTCCAACTCTCAGTGTGTTCTGGGAAGTTCTTGTTTTATTCTTTGTCTTTCTGACAGTCTTTATGATAGTTGTTTTAAAATCACTGCCTGATAAGCCTAATACTGTATTTGCAGTCTACCTTGGATAGTCTTTCAATTCATTTTGTTTCTTTTTATGGGTCATGTTTCCTGTCTTTTTTTTTTTGTATGTCTGTAATTTGTTATTTAATTATTACGAGTTACATATTTGATGTATAATGTGGTAAAAATGGTAATCAAATTCTGCCACTACCTGAAATGTTTTTGAAATTGAAGTCCCATTTTTGTAGTTATTTTACTGATTTATTTTTGCTGGAACTATTCTTCGTTATGTATTGTCCCTGAAATGTCTTTTAGTTCATACTTAGAAAATATTGTACTCAAAGATTCCTTGAATGGCAGGAGGTAAAACAAACAACAAAACCATAATATATGCAAGTTGTAACCAAAAGATGTAGTATATCTTTAAATTCTGAAAATTATTATAGTAAAAGTTACATTACCATCAGGCCCCTTCAGAACACTACCCCTTACTTTAAACACACCTATCTATTGTTCTTGCCAATTTTGAAGCAGTTCTAGACATTCCTCTTCCATGAGTGTCTTCACTTGCAGTGTCATGCCTGCCTGTATGTTCCATAATGATTCAGAATTTCTCGTCATGCTCATTGGACTTTGGAGAGGAGCCAGAAGTTACATGATGGTAGATCTGGTGAATGAGGTAGATAAGGATGTATCATAATGTTTTTATATGTTCAGTGATACTTGACACCAGCATTAACCTTATTTTTGATCAGATCCTATAAAGGTATAAAGAAAGGATTTCTAGATCTGCTTGAAAGTGGCAGGAATGATGGGATAAATGTGTCTGATGCAAGGGAGAGCACATAATTTTAATAAAAATGTTTTATCATACTCTATGATATAGACTATTTTGGAGTTTTTCTTCTATTTTCCCTAGTTTTGTATTTCTGTGTAACCCTAAAACATTTTCTTTTTTTGTTCTACCATTTCTGCCTTGGATAAAAGAGCATAGAAATTTCATAAAAGGAATTTGGAAGATCATTTTTACATTCTTTATAATATTTCCCATAAGACTAGGTTATTCTTTTATTGAAAAAAAATTTTTAGATCCTCTTTTAAATGTGTAGGACTGAGTGCAGTTTTTTTTGAGTAGGTTTTGATTGCATGATTTAGTTTATTGATATTTATTAAATATTTCATTAACTTGAAAAACTTTTTTTGGGGGGAAAGGGTTTACAGAGTGTTCAGGGTCTCACTCCTAGATCAGACTTGTGGTGATCCTCCTGTTTACAGCCTCCCAAGAGCTGGGATTACAGGCGTGTGCCACCACACCCAGTCTGAATTGCCACCTCAGTATGCCCCAGGGGCGGAACCAGGGCTGGGCTGGCATGGCAGGCAAAACTTGGTTTGCTATTTAAATTTTTCCATTTGAAATTGGTATTATGAGTCAATTGGTATTATGAGTCAGTTGGTATTTGACTCACATGAGTCAAACCTGTCCATGATTTACGGTGGAAAGTGGCAAAACGTTTCACTTTAACTCAGTGTTGTTCTGAAGATGTCTTCATTGAGAGAAAAGCTGTTTATCTTCCAAGTACCTTGGGAGCATGACTCATTGGTGCCACCCTTTGGATGGCTCTGGATTTAGGTTAGTTGATCTTCCAAAATGAAAACTCAAGCTGCAGTTCTGTCTTAAATCTGGCTTTCAGACTATCTGCACTCAGAAATGCTTTTTTTTTCTGATTTCTCATGTATAGAAGTAGAAATTAAGTTCTGTTACTTTTTAAAAAAATTCTAGTAATGGAGGTTTTTCATTAGAATATTTTCTAGTGGAAACCTTATCCTGGTGTTTTCCTAAAATTTAAAAATGTCTGTTGGATCTATCTGACATAGATACCTCGAATTTTGTTCTCAGGCCAGTCCTTTCCTTCATCTGCCATACAGTGGCAAATGTATTCATCTGTCTGCTCAGGCCATATCCCTGGGAGAGATCGTGGATTCCTGGCTTTGTCTTGCTATCACAGAGACAACATAAGAGTGGTGTTTGTCACTTCTGTCTTTAGAATATCTCTCAAATCTTGATCTTTGCCTCTGTCAGCTTTGGTTGGATTATATGATTGTTTGGATTCAGTAGCCTTTTTCTCTCTTTCCACGTTGATATTAGCTATAAGTTTTTGTTTTCCTGCAGCCTGATTGTTCCACTTTTTGTTTATATTTCTTTATTTCATATTTCTTATGCAGTGGTTCTAATATTTCTGTTGTGTTACAATCGTGTTTATCTTTCCACGCTCACTCTCTTGACTCTTGGCAAAGGGTTCACCTTAGGTGGTAATGTGTTAATGGTTTTTATTTCCACCCCAGTGTTCACTTGTTCTTTCTAGACTCTTTTGGTATTCCTGGCACTTCAAGGTACTCAGTCTGAGACAAATCTTTATCAGTGCCTGCCTGGGGTTCCTTGTTCATCTCTGATATTTGACATAAGTCAGACTGAATCATGAGATGGACAGCTTTTGCAGTTCCTCGCTGTAGTTAAAAAAAAAAATCTTTTGTGTCTTCAGGCCACAAACACAAAAGTCCTCTCTTTCCTCTCTGCCCCCCTTTTTTACAATTCCCAGTTTCATTTTCCAATTCTGAATTCTTATCCTGCCAAGCCTTCTCACTGGGCTTAGTTCTAATTACCTCTAAGTAGTTCCGTATCTAGCCGGCTCTAAAAGAGCAAGAGTAGAGCACAGAGGTAGAAACATTTTCTCTTAACTCTCAACATTATGTGTCAGGTCCATTGGCATAATTATTTTCATACTTTCAAGGGAAAAAACTTGCTTCATCTTTTCCTTCCTTCCTTATTTTTCTCTCATCTTTTCTTTTTTTCTTCACATATCAGCTTACTTATCTGTCATTCCTTTTTGGGAAACAAATGGGAATTTCTAGTTCTTATTTAGCAGCCTGATGCTCATTTTTGGAGTTAATGAATGTATGCTATTTATGTGAGTGTCTAAGTTACTCTTTTCTTGTTATTGGAACAAAATACCCAACAACCAGAATGAAAGAAGGAAAGCTTTATTTAGCGCACAGTCAGTGGAGGTTTCAGTCCATACTCAGCTGGCTCCAAGACAGAGTGGCCCATGGCAGAGAGTAACCATTCATGGAAGCGGCAAAGAGCAAGAGAGCAAGAGCAAAAGGGAAGAGTAGCAGCAACAATGGCTACAGAGAGCAAGTCTTTCTCCCTTAAGTTGCATTCAGTGTATCTGCCTCATGCTGGATACAGTACTAGCACCCATAATACTAGCAGCACTCACACCCATAATCCCAGTGGAACATGAATGAATCACAAACTCTAGAAGTCCCCATCCCATGACTGCATAAGGCTTTGGGGGCACAACTAGATCCAAACCATAACAGTGAGCAAACACTATTGAGATACTATTTAATTTTTCATAAAATAATAAAAATGTGTATATATTTGAAAACAGAAGTATGACATCAAAATTTAAAATTTATTCAACATGAAATCAGACTTAGAGAATGGTCAGAAGGAAAAAGCCAGATTTGAAGAACTTTACATAAAATCAAGAGCTGAGTCTCAACCTTTGGGAAATTTTTTGATATGTTTATAATGCTGTTCTTTCTTTTTTGAGTGCATTTGTGTATATATATTAAAAAGAGAAAACAATGAAACAAGATAACCAGATTTTGTATTTAAGTAACTGAACTTATCTTTCATTTATGGAAATAAAATTTTATAATGATGTCTTTGTTATAATTTTAGTAACTAAATTTCTATGCAGACTTTCAAGTTTTGTCACTTTAAATTGTCAGTTTTTATACCAAGAAAATATTATGCATTTTCTGTTTCTGAGAAAAAAGTCTATGACTGGTGCAAGTTATAATTTGTGGTACTTTTTTAATTAAGTGAAAAAAATAAAACATTGTTCATTTTTTCTGTCATTTTGTAGAATAATGAAATATAGCATTTTTTATTTCATGTGTGTTATGTTTAACTCTAATGTAAATGCTCTAATTTCAGGCCTTTGAAGATAATTTAATTGAAGCAAGGAGAGAAATTGAAGTACTACAGAGTAAATATGATGCTCTGTCTTTACAGTTGAACAATAAACAGACTGAACTTCTCCAAAAGGATGTGGATATTTCCTTGGTCAGGCAAGTATATGTAGTTTGTAAGTCAATGTTATAGAAATGTTGTTAGTCATTTAGTATGATGACATTTTTGTTTATTATTAATGCTCCCCAGTGACTGTGATGCATCTTTATTCGGGTATATACGTTTGTGCATTGGAAATATAGAATTGGATTTGTGTGCACTAAACTGAAAATACTTTCCCAGTATGAGTGGGGATTCACGTTGTTGAGAGAACACAGTCAAGAGTTCTTCAGTTTTTAACAAGGTGTCTTAATCACTTTCTTTGCTGCTGACAAAACAGTGCACACCTGTAACTTAGAAGAGGAGGGGTTTATTTTGGCAGAATGTTATTCAGTGCATGGTCACTGGCTCCAAGGCAGAAGTGGTGTGGCGAAGGAGCACAGTAGGTAAGAGCTGGTTATGTCTTGGTGGGCAGAAAGCAGAGGAAGAAAGTAAATGCTGGGTTGAGGGAGATGCCTGTAGGTCCCCATCCCAGTGACCCACTTCTGTCATCCAGACACTACCTCCTAGCAGCAGGTTAGCTGTAGTGGCCTCGTGATCGGGTCACCTTCCACATACATGAGGCTTTGGGTGCCATTTTGGATCTCAGTATAACACAAGGAAAGCACTTCCATTCGTTATTCCTTTAAAGTTCCTAGCTACGTGTTATATAACAGTCATAATAAATGATAATTAAGAAACAGGATTTTTAATTTTTATTTTATTATGTTCTCTGCAGGTTTAGTTTTTAAAATATTCTTTCTGTATCAGCATATTTAATTTTATTCCTCATAAAGTGGGATTACTTGAAAAAGAACAAGATGGTATGTTTTTAAGTGTTTTAAAATATTATGTTTACCTATTTATTTATTTTAGAATTGTCTTGATTTGAAAATAGTGTTAAACAGTATAAATATCTGAAGACTTTCTTTGTTAACTAATGTTTGTATCCACATATATATGTAATATGCAGCCACAGGGATGTATGTGTGTGTGTGTTTATGTGTACAGTAATACCTTGGCTTATGAACTTAATATGTTTTATTATCATGGGAAAGGTGCTTTTTTTTTAATGTTTGTGTGGGGAAAATGGCCATGATCATGTTTGTCACCTGATGATGAGTTTGTGAATGGAAGTAAAATTTTGCTGAACACTTTTTTTTGTGACCTGAATTGTTTGTAAACAGATGCATTTGAAATTGATGGTGTGGATTTAAAGGTATATGGTAAACTTAATTTTATGATTTATTTTAATTTAAAATTAAAAAAATTAGTGACATAATGTAAATCATTGTCAGTGTGGTATATGTTGGGATAGAAATATTTTCGTAAATCTGAACTGTAAACTTTTTTCATTTTAGTTGGCATTAGTGAGGGAGTCAGAGGGAGTCAGTGTATGAAGTACATTTGGTAGTTCTCATAAAATAAAGTTTTAGAAACTTTCGCCTTTCTGAATACATCTTGTCAGTGTTCCTAGAAACTCTGAATGAGAAACTATTTCCTGAAATCAGTAACATTAAAATGAATTAGAATTTTAATAAATGCTTATATCATATTTTAAAACCTTTCCATTCCTGTAGGAGAGATGTATTTTATAATGAGAGTTTGGTTGGATTATCAATTCATGTTGCAACTTGTGTATTTAAAGAGTTTTATTTTTCTAGGGATTGAGATCTCAGCCTCACATATTTTAGATAAGTGCTACATCATTGAGCTATACCCACAGCTCCCTAAATTTTATTTTTTTTTTCAATTTAAAGATGGTGTCATTTAAAAAATAATTTTATTGAGAAACAAATAGCAATGAGACAGTTTCAAAACCAGGAGAGTTTCAATAATTCAATAATTAATACATTGCATATTGTTATCTTCTTAGTGGTTATTCATAGTACAAGATGCTGACATGATACCCTGTCTAAACACTATTAGTACAAATCATTCTTCTCATTGAACTAAGATAAAATAGCTATATATTTATGTTAACTGTTTTGTATATACAGATATGAAAATGATCACTCATTTGTATCCCCCTTTTTTGGTTAGTTTTGTCAGCGAAGGGTATTCCATTGCCATTTAAATATTGTAGATGTGTGAATTCAGCAAATATTCCAATATAGTCCAGTAGTACAAAATAGTAGTGGGTCATCCGCAAGACTGGCAATGTCAGAAGTTGTTGACCAGCCCAGCATACCAACATGGCTTCACCCCTTATACCTCATTGTTTACCTTTCTGCTGGATGGTTAAGACCAAGGTAAAGCAAGGCCTATATAACAAGGAATGTAACTTTTGTATCTGATAAGGTCAGTCAAGTCCCTTCAGGATTTACCCTGAAACCCTATACCATAGTTTATAGATCCTTTGTCAGTGTCAGCCATGTGGATGAGTCATGGCCATTGCTTGGCCAATTTACTCTCTGTGAAAGACTGAGAGAATGTTTTCTCTCCATGTGACTCTCCTTAGGCACACTATACATCATCAATCACATTCCTCTGTGGCCCTATAACTTCCTTGATCAGAAAATTTAGGACACAACTGAGTTACATGATGTGACAATATAGGTTCTCCTATGTCCCGAGTCCTCACTGACCTTGAAAGGCTAGGGCCAAAATGTTGGCTGTCCTTGCAGCCCTTCTTTTTCTCTAATTTTTGGTCTGCAAACTTAGGTTGTTAACCCTCCAGAAGAGAAGCTTATTATTACTCTACAACATATGCAGTTAGGTTTAACCTAACTGTCTGAATATCAAACATCTTAGGCATAACATGGAACAGGTATTTTGCATCAAGTATTGATATGTTAAACTTTAAGTCCCTACAGAATATGAAGAAAAAAATATGAATAAACAATTACATATTTTTACACAGAAATTTAGAAATCTAACCATATACAGCATTGTAGCAGGACAGTCCTGTGACTTTTTTTTGTCTCTTCTTTTCATTTATTACAATTTTTTTAAACAAAAATTTACTTCAGAGACAGTATGGCAGTAATTGGTATATCATGAAAAGCAGTACATATTTAGAAAACAAGAATGACAGGCATTCCAAGCATGACCCTACTATTACACATTGCTATCTTCAGTGCAGATGCTTTTCACAGATATTAGCATATGTAGTTAGTCAGGGTGTGAATCCTACCAATTAACTGCTAGTTTCAAAAACATGTTTCTTGTGATCATTGCCTTACCCATCTTGTGCATATAAATGTATGGCTTTGCCCCTGTCATGTTTCCTAGCTTTTCTTCTTGCCCTCTCTTTGTTGTGTAATCCTCAAGTTCTCGCTTTCCTTTTAATTGTGTTATACCTTTCTATTTTTTTTTTCTTTTGAGTGCTTATACTAGGGAGACTATATGATACCACATGTTTTTCATCCATTCCTCCGGTGATGGGCATCTTGGTTGTTTCTAAGATTCTGCTATCACAAATTGTGCTGCTATAAACATAGGTACACATATATTACTATGAGATGACATTTTCAGTTCCTCTGGGAAAATTCCCAGTAGGGGGATAGCTGGCTTGAATGGGATTTCCAGACCTAGTTTTTTAAGGAGTCTCCACACTGATTTCCATAATGGTTGTACCAGTCTACATTCCCACCAGCAGTGGAGAAGGGTTCCTTTTTCCCCACAACCTCTCCAACATTTGTTGTTAGTTGATTTGTTTATGAGAGCCATTCTTTCTGGGATGAGATGGTATCTCAGTGTTGTTTTAATTTGCATTTCATGGATGGCTAGTGATGTGGAGCATTTTTTCGTATATTTATTTGCTTCTTTAATTTAGTCCTCTGAGAAGTGTATGTTCATCTCGGATGCCCATTTCTGGATTGGGTCTTTAAATTTAGGGGCCCTAACATATTTTAGTTCTTTATAAATTCTAGAGAGCAGACCTTTGTCTGACTGTTAAGATTTTTTTGAAATTTGTGGGTTGTCTTTTCATTTGTTGGTAATTTCTTTTGACGTACAAAAACTTCTTAATAAGAGGAGGTCCCAGTGGTTAATTCTTTCGGTTATTACCTGTGTGATTTGATTTTTGTTCATGAACTCTTTGCCTACCCCTATCTTCAAGAGTTCCTCCTACTTCCTCTTCCAGGAGATTTACCTCCTACTTTCTCTTCAAGGAGATTTAGTGTTTCTGTTTTAATATTTAGACATTTAATCCATTTTGACTTTAGCTTAGTGCATGGTGATAGACCTGGGCCAAGTTTTAGTTTTCTGCATGTATAGGGCTAGTGTTTCCAGCACTATTTGTTAAAGAGGCTATCTTTCTTCCAGTAAGCTAGTTTGGCCCCTTTGTCGAAGATCAGGTGTCTGAGTGTGTTCATAGAGGCTTCTGCATCTTCTAATCTATTCCATTGATACTCAGTTCTATTTTGTTGCCAGTACCATGCTGATTTTCTCAAAGTAGCGTTGTAGTATAATTTCAATCAGGGATTGTAATGCCTTCTGCATTGTCTTTGTTGCCCAGGGTTGCCTTTGCTATTCTACTTCTTTTCTGGATTGAAATAAGTCTTAGGAACAATTTCTAGATCTGGACACAGTTCCCTAAATTTTAAAGTTAATAATTTAGCAAAGACAGAAAAGTATTTTAGATAAGAATAGAACTTTAGTGTTGGGAGAAATTTTAAAATTACTTATTTCTATTCTTTTCTTAATAAGATATTACAACTTTTATATTTTGATATGTTTAGTTTGAAAGATTTTTATAATTTTCATTATTGCTGTTTTCATTTTCTGTTAAAATTTTGAAGATTATTTTGTATGACTTGAAAGTTCACTGTTTTTCAGTAGCTATCCACTTACCTCAGTTTTATTATCTGCAGAATGTTAGACACAACTCATCCTGTTCTAATACAGTGCACTTCTATTAGTAAATGGTAGTTTCAATGACATTTTTCTTTCATTGATTACTCTTATTTTCACTGCAGTTCTTATGTATATATTTTATAGATACTGTAGTGTTTTAGTTTTCAATCTGAATGTATTCCATATTGTTAATATCCATGTTTTTAATACTTTTAAATAT